ATTTGACACAGTACAGCTAGGTTCTTCTCCTAACTAACAAACTAGTTTGTTTTAGTTCTGCATTATGTTGACACATATCTGCAGGCCCGTCAAAGAGGTATCAAACTTACATTTACCTAAATTGCCCACACTACAGTACCATGTGTCCGGACAGATATGTAATGATTCTGATTTAATTCAGATAAAAGCTTGGATGTTTTTCCAAAAAAATATTGTTATCACGATATACAATATTTCAGCAGCAAATGCTTGAAGTCTTGAACATCTGTTTTTTTACTCTGCAAATGATTATAGTTAGTATAAGAGGTCAGGTGTAGCGCACTCTTGACTTCCAAATTTTCAACATCAACAATTCTTGAAATAGACATTTTTAAATATTACCGATTATATGAATTAAATTATATTCAATGACTAGATTAAAGAATAAAATATGCATGTATTGCTGTTTAAAAAAGTGACTGATAGATTGATAACCACTGAACAAAGAGAACAACTAAATCTGGCAATTTTCAGGGCTGTCTGGTTTTTAGTGGTCCCTAACCAGTATACTTTAAACTTATAAACATAAAAAATTTCTTCTAAATATACTTTTAATTAATCAGAAGTACAATGTACAATTATATATAATAATATACCACAATTATATAATAATATACCAGATATTTCTTATTTTTTCCTTTAAAACAGCTTATCTCTTGATAACTTGCAAGTAATCAGAAAAAGTTATTAGTATTTTTTTTTTTTTTTTCAAATGGGCTGAGTTGGTATAGGTTGGAGTTTATCCAATTACATCCAAGGTTAGTCTGGCCAAGGGCCGGATGGTTGTCAGACTGTTTTTCCCCTTACCAGTTCCTTCCCTGATGTTTCCTCCTGACTGTTTTTCCTCCTATTTTGGGGTCACGCTGCCTTCTTGAGTATAAATGGTGGTAGATCTCTACTAAACTTTTACTCATGGAGTGTGTGAAGCTGACTAATATAGGGCCTACTGTAAATATTGCGTTTTTTGATGAAATGGGTTGACCTTGGATCCAAGGGATACATGGCTTCCCATGGACAATGTAAAATCCAGGTCGATTCTGTCCTGCATTTGACATGGCCCCTGGTCATCTCGACCTTATACCTACTTGGCACATTATTTAATATTTACTAGTAATGTATACTTTTATTCCTTTAATATATTTTCATCACAACTTTTCATTTTTTTTTAATTTTTAACAATTTACTAATGGATATTTAAAAGTTTTTATTGATGAAAGTATGTAATGTGTAGAGAAAGGAAGTATGTATGAAGAAAGAGAGCTTTTTGATTGATAGAGACAATATTAATGTAATCTGTCTTCACGAAAAAAACTTTAAAGGAACAGGACATTCGGGCCAGTAAAATATCAAATCTTACTGGACCTGGTGATTTTTAGCCGGACCAAATACATAGATAGGTAATAAATGTTGATGGGAACAGGAAAACACTTTATCATGCTTCCCTTGATAATTTTGAAAGAAGCATAATGGTCTCAACCCGGTACGGAATTAGACCCAGCCCGTTGTAGTCTAGAAAGTAGCTATGAGAAATCTCTCTGTGACAACTGATCTTAGTTTTCTAGTGTTATGGTGATAATAATCTTTTGCTGTAGGTTCAGAAATTATGTTGGATTGGAGATGTTGGTAATAACAGGGTCTGTTAGTAAGGTCTGATGGACTAAACTCGTCCTAGTTATGACCGAAAGTGGGTTTAAATGGGCATGAAAACCAGACACTAATATTAGCCATTAAGTGTACATGCCAAAAGGCTGCTTCAATAGTTTGAATAATATTATCGTTGCACATATTGGCCCACCTCTGTCATTCAATCAATACTTGCAAATAATCTAATGGTACTGGTTAAAAAGTATACAAAGATATAGAATTTCTTTACTCATTTGCAAATTTTGTGAATGGGTATCTTTTCATGAGCTTCACATTACACATGTAGTACAGATACGGTACATATAGTACAGTCAAACATGAATTGTTAATTTTTGTTTGTAGTGAGATACATAATTATTTCATGGTGCTGAATATTATAGAATAGGGGAGTCTGTGGCAGAGTGGTTTAAGTCTTTGACTTCGAACATTTTTCCCCATGACTGCTGTGGGATTGAATCTTTTGAAATTGTGGTACTTTGGATTCTTTCATGGGAGCAAGCTATTATGCAAGTTTAAAGCCTGTCAGTGGTCCTACTTCTGTGTTTACTCATGTATAAAATAAGACTGTTACAAAACAGATCTTAACCATCCTCTTTTTCTAGAACTGGAAGTTACTGTTACTGTTAATTGTTGGTAGTGAAAAGTAAAATACATAGAAAATATTCAAGTTTGATCTATAAATACAGGATTTATTTTTATCAAGTGTTATGAAAATAAATATTTCTTGAGTGTCGGTAGACGCAAGTGAAATATGACAATTTTCAAACCATAAAATGAAAATGATTCCTTTATTTATAATTATAAAAAAACTTGAAATTTCTGTGTATAATATTGTTTTTTTTTGCCCTACAGTTCATTAGACTTTCCCTTTACCTTTGTGTATTGGCTGAATTAAGAAGGCACTGGTAAAAAAATATGCAAAATTTGAAGTGAAAAATAAGTATTTACAGTACAGTGAAAACATGGAAAATAAAAATGTACATTTTATTTCATCCATTCAATATTTCATTGATAAGTACATTTATATAATAAAAAATATTGTATTAATTAGGAAATTTTTTTTTCAGGTGTGTGATGAAAGTCTAACAAGTGTGTTTAAATTCTAATTGTGACACAGTAACTGTTGAGTGTTTGCAAACTGTATACAGGCCATTTTTTTGCACAGGTAATTATTTGAAAGTTTTTCCTGACATTGGTATATATTTTTTATTTAGCTAGTGGGAAAAATTCACTTTTTTAAAACACAGTTTTTACACAAATTTGGGTGATATAATATAATGGCATCTCATTTGGATAAAAGAAAACCATGCCTATTCCCTATTTTATCACTAGATACTGTATTCCTAGAAAAGATTTCGCGCATTTCAAGTTAGCGGTTTTCGCGGTAGGCATGATTCCGCGAATCTTTAAAGCCGCGAATATGTCACTTATAACAAATCCGCGAACATTTCTAGCTTCAACCAAATATAACATAAAAAGTGCAGAATATTAATTATAATCTACTTACATAAAGCAACATAATAAAATAGGTGTTTATGAAATTGTGTAAAAGCAATTATTTAGTGTAATGTTATTGATAACTAGTTTGCCACGCTGGAAAAAGAAAAAAAATATTATTAGTAATTAACATGGCGTTATTTGCTAGTCACGGCGTTGACAAACGCATTTACAGTTTGCGAACATTGAATGTCTTGGATTTTATTTGTTCGGAGTAGGTGTAATCCTTTGTTAAAAGTACAAAAGCGATCAAGTGCTACATTGATAAACAGCTGTTATGTTGTTATAATGAAAGCGATGTATGGCTTTAAAAACATTATTTTCTGAAATATCTGTCCTTTTTTCACAAATTTAAAGATTTTTAAATATCATTATGTCGTTAAAATTTTCATTATTGCTCTTGTTTTTAATATTCGCCCTTTTCTTGAACACTTACATAATTTGCGTATAGCAAACTATATCCGAGTTATACCGAGACAGGTTTAATTGTAGTGAGAAGGGTTTACAGAGTGTGTTTCCAGACCATTCTATTTGAAAGACCCTGAAGCAATCAACAATTGTAAGTAATCAAAACGTGAACCTATCACTTAGTTCATTTTCTAATTAACAAGTTTAATACTCTGTCGTATCTATGGGTTGTTATTCCGTCAACATTGATTACCTGAGGGTTTTTTTCAACTTCCAAGTGCATTATACACATTTCATCTTTACAAATCAATATGAAACTCTAAGTAAATGCCAGTTATCCGGTAATCCGGTACATGCTATGTAGGCTAATCACATTTTATGATTGTATTAGTTTGTCCGTGGCGGACTATTTTATGGAGTTAACATAGTAAAGAGACTGCTGTGCTTATGTTACGTGTTTTTTATCCTGAACTATGAGCATTCATAATGAAAATTCCATTACTAGTTAGAAAAATGTACGCTGTATTTGACCATTGTTGCTTTAACACAACTCGTATACTAGAGAGCAGAAATAGTTTGCTTAAAAGTATTACTTGTTAAATAATGATTTTTTTTTTATTTTATTAATTTATTTATTTGTTGTTATTATTGTTGTCGTCGTTGTTGTTGGAAAAAAGTTCTGTGCTGTTTCAAACCAAGTTCTCCAGCAATATTTCCTAGGAATAGTGAGTGTATTATACCACTGTTAAGCCTTCTTCAAAACAGCGCTCCGAGAGCTATTTATAGCGCGCAGTGACGTTCATTTCTAAAAATAGAAGATTGGGAAACGAATATCCCCATCCATATAGGAGACGGTACTATCAAATGGCTTCCTTAATGTTTATACATTTATATTTTATGGAAGGCAAATAGCATTGAATACCTTAATTCTTTTGATTTGACATGAATTCTTAAAATAACATAATATTTTGTCTTACGAAAAACTGAAGGCCTCTTAATTTAAAGTCCAGATAATAAACAATGTGTATTTTATAATAATCTTTCTAACAATTACAAAATAATGATAAATTGAATATTAGAAGAAGGCCAAATAACGTCTAGTAGATACACATTTATTGAAAATGGATCATTTTTCCTATAATCAGAGTCTTAACGCGTTATTACTTATAGTGTTACTTTTATCAAGCTCGATTGTTCTTAATACATTGTATATGTATATAGAGAATATTTGTCTGTCCTGAGCGAATATGCTAAATGTCTTATTGATAAGTAGTCAATTTTGAATAAAACATCTTATCTGAAATATGTTTATCAATAAAAAATAAAGAAAGATATTTAATCAGTCTCGTATAGGCGGTTTAACATGAAAACTTGTTCGAGGCGTGATCATAGAGAAAAACAATAAATTAAGCAAGCGTTTTAATAACGTGAATGACTTATTTTTATTATCGTATTGAAGGTTGTGAAACATTCAAATTGGTGTTGGTTACCATGTTACCCGAGTGTTCCGAGATGATCAAATCTGAAAACAAACAAATGATTAAGAGATCTACATGTAATACCAATGTGTATAACTTGTACCTTACATTGTGAAAGAAATCCATAATGTATTTCAATCAAAACCGTCATGTTTTTAAATATATTAATTCAATGCATATTAACAAGACGGTGCACTTTGTATAAGTCTAGAAAATAAAATTTCTGTTCTGTTCTGTTTAAAAGAGTTTTAAATGTTTTTGCACAATGTTATTCCCCAGTGAAATCAGTGTAAGCCGGATATGCACTAGAAATATACCAGTGGAGTCGAACACAACTGCATGTGGCATGTAACAAAATGCCTACTTCTATTATATATATCGGTGTTTAATAAAATGTGACAAGAATAAAGAAATTTATTTAAAATAAACAAAATATTTGCTTTCTGCAGCCTTATTAAAGCGTTTCAATCGCAAACTAAATACGTCTTTCCATTTTGCAGGACCAATCGATGTTCAAGGTCTTAATGCGTCAATTACGCAACACTTTTTGATTAATATAAATTTTAAAATAGATCTCCATACATAAGCCCATTATGCCCCAGAGATACTTTTGTTTTTATTTCTCAAAAGCTTGGTATTTTTGGTGTACTTATATATTTTCCAAAACATTACCTTTTGCCCAAATACCTGATTGGCTAGAAAAAATAGAAGATGCTGATACAACTGTTTTATGTTGGAGACTGAAAAATGTTAGAACCTTCACTAAATTCCGTATTCCGGTACATACCGGACAAGGCGCTGGAAGGATTAAAGACGTCTAATTCGTCTCTTAACAACGATTTATATACGATAATAAGAATCGTCGAAAAACGGATATTTTTTTTTACTTTGTGATCATGATTTCCGCAAGCGTCTAGACGTACTGCTCTAACATTCGAGTGAGCTAAATCTGATTTTAACTCGTTCACACGGACATTATCAACATGGAAGAAGACCTCGCCTCGTGAGTAGAACCTCTGTATTTGTGTAAGCAAGCTTGACGGCTTCACTTATGTGAAATAATCTCAAGTATCTGGTGGGCTTCAAACTCACAACAGTGAGATACAAGTGCTTTGAAATCATCATCCTTAACCACTCGGCCATTGAGGCGCCCGCTGATAAAAATAAAATATCTTATTGAAACAATATATACGCATGTTTAAAACAGTAATCCCTGATTTCCTGCATTTCCGGATCACTGTAAGATAAAGTACTGCTTAAGCCCTTTTCCTTCATTTGCTGCATTTCACACGCCATAAAAGGTGTGATGAGTTGACCAATGGCAAGCCCTGACGAAAATAAACACAAAATAACTAGACCAATGAGATACGCTGTTGTAAGCAACATAGCACTTTTTAACACACTTAACTACATAACTGTAAAATTGAATAATAGCATTTTAATAAAAACAATACCTAAATGCATTATGTTCATAGATGGCTCGTGAATTATTTTTGATAAAAAGCAACATTTCTTTTTTAAAAAATCAGAAAGAAAGAAATCATCAAGTTGGTCTATAAGAGAAGTTTGATTCATGATATTTCTTTTCCTTTAGATGGCATTCATCTCTTTTTATACACACGGTATGACAAGAGAGATAAGAGCGACGTGTTTCTTTTATTATTCAAATTACCATTATTTTATTTTTTGTTACGTCCTACTTACACTGTAATAGTTGTATAGCTACGAATTTCCAGCTTTGCTCATGAAGGAAGACCTCGGGGTCTCCACTGTGTATTTTATCAAATACAAATGAGAAACTGAGTAAAACCAGCGACTTTAGCAATCTAGCTGGAAAGCATCCTCAAATTAAAATAATTCATAGTTTCTGGCAGGACTCGAACACAAAGCCCCTGTTTCCTGGGTTAGTGGATTTCAAGTGTTTTAAAGTCAGCGACCTCAACCGCTCGACACTATAGAATTATCAACTCACCTAGAAGAGCAAATCCAATGACACACACGTAAATTTTCCACATGTTGTTTCCACTCTACAGATGTACAAAAAAGACTGATTTCTGTTATAAATACGTTATCACTGTAACCTACATTCTTTTATATGATAAGTAATCATATATAGAACATAAACGTCACAATGCTGTCTAAATGCTAATACAATGACTTACTTTTAAAAACCTTTACCATCTCAAATCTTTATAAAAGATTTGGTCCGCCATGAACTTTCGACAGTCCGTTAGCAGTTTGATGTATTTTTTTATTTATTTTATCAAAACACTATATATAACTAAGCAGCTAATTAATGACATTTGGGTCAGACAATACGAAATGTGCACACTTGTGTGGTTCTATACCACTGTAACAGGCGACATCATTGCAACAAACATCCTAACAAAACACAGTTTGAGGTGAAATATTTCTGTCAATGACTTTAAGATTAAAGTAATTCATGGACTGTACGTAAAGCTGTGACAAGTTTATGATGTTTGCTGCGAATAACCTTGCTTAATTACCTAGATTAACTTTTTTTTCAATTCAATATTTTATTCGGCAAAAACTTATAAATGTTCATCGCCAATATAACATACATTGTATTTATAATGGCGGTACAAATACAAAGAGAAAAGCATGAATTCATATTAATTAAATCAGTCGAATTCTTTCGACAATAACAAAACAAAGAGATACTATATATGATCTTTAACATACATAAAATAAATCCATATAACACAGTCATATCATGCCTGATAGTTTTCGCGCCAAAGATTAGCTTTGTAAACGTATTTTGCAAGTTTATTAATAGTATTACTTTGTTTGCAATTTAAAAGAATTTTGAATTTAAAAAATTTGGCCAATGACAATAATAATTAGGTAAAATATTAAGTTTAATCTGTCTGTAAAAAGGACATACTAAGAGGAAATGATACTCATTTTCTATACTATTCATATTACATTTCGTGCATATTCTTAGACTTCTAGTAATGTTTCTATATCTCCCTTCTTCTATAGCTAAATTATGAGCAGAACACCGGAATCTAGACAAAGCAATTCTATAGCTATCATATTTTACACAACTTAAACATTTTTCTAATTCAAAACTGGATTTAAATAAACAGTAAGTATCAAGTGTTGGAGATTCTTTGAGCTCTGAAAACCATTGCTGTAGATATTGGTCATAAATAGTTCTTATTACTGTTTGAATTTGTAAGTTAGTGATTTCTGTGTTATCCCATAAATAAGAGTATCCTAAATTATCTAATAATTGTTTAACACTTACAGATCAATTGTTTACTAATATTCCATGATCATCACGCGTATTAAATACTTTAAAAACTAAAGAATTCGTGGTTTTCATAATTCTGAACCAATATTTTATCATTCTGATTTTACGACATATAATCATCGGAACTCGTCCAAATTCACCGTAAATCGCAGATCTGGCAGTCTGTTGACGAACTTTTAAAACGTTTTTTAAGAATTTTAAATGATTTTTTTTTCTATATCGGATGCCTTATGTAAACCCCAAATTTCACATCCATAATTCAGAATCGAAGTGATCATGGAATCAAATAACTTAATTTGTCTTTACTTCCATTAGCAGACAGAGTAACACCTAAATAAGTAAATTTAGTAACAATTTTAAGTCTATGATTATCATAAAATATATCAATATTTTCAGGTCTATTACCTTTCTTACATATCATTACTACGGTTTTATCAATATTAACACTGATACCCCAATTGCAACAATAAGACTGTAAATTATTTAGAAGGTTCTGTAACCCTTCTTTTGAATAAGATATTAACACCGTTTCATCCGCAAAAAGAAGTAAAAAGAGATGTAATTCGTCCATAGTGACCGAGTCAATAGACTCGTCATATAAATATTGATACATATCATTTATAAAGAATAAAAACAACAGAGGGGATAATGGTTCGCCTTGTTTAACGCCTTTAAAGCTCTTAAAATTATCACTTAGCTGTCCATTTACACGTACACAAGATTTAACACTTTCATATATTTTCTGTAACATATTAACAAACTTTGTGGAAAATCCATAAGATAATTATTTAAACCAGATTCCGTTTCTGTAAACTACATCAAAGGCTTTTCTGAAATCGACAAATGCTAAATATAGCTTCTATTTTATCATGCGAAATAACTTTATCTATGATTGAAGTTAAAACAAAAATACAGTCAATGGTACTTTTATCTTTTCGAATTCCAAATTGAAAATCACTTAACATATTATTGTCCTCGGCCCGTTTTCGGAGTCTTAAATCTAATATGGTTGAAAAGATTTTTGAAAAAATTCTACTTAATGTTATTCCTCTATAATTATTGACATTATTAAGGTCACCTTTTTGGGGACAGGAACAATAACACCTTTAGTCCAACTATCTGGGTAAATACAATGAGTAAACATAAAATTAAATAGTTTGCATAATAACGGTGCAATAATATCTTTCCACTCAACAAACATCTAGCGGATTAAACAATCTATTACACCGCTTTTACCACTCTTTAACATATTTAGAGCTTTCAATTCTTCATCAAGGCTAAACAAAATATCAAGTTGTTCCACATTGATATTAACATCACTATTTAATAAATTTTCAGCATCATCATTTATAAATTCGTTGTCATCAGAAAAAAAGCATTTTTGAAATGGTTGTAAAATTCGTCTTCCCTTTTGGCGTTTTTGATTTAAATTTTTTAATTTCTTTCCAAAACTTATTAATTAGACATGTACATCGTTTTCAGTCTAGCTTTGCGTCTGCATTGTGATAAGTTAATGATTTTCATTTTTCCTTTCTCCCTTTCTTTTCATGATCGGAATTGCTCAGAAGTTGTCATATGACGAGGCCGTCAAATAAGCACATAATGTATGGTATGCACATTTAGCCATTACGTTTACAAATGCTGATAATGGAGGTTTTCTCATTATGCAGTATGTCTATGTGAGTTTATTCTATAATTAACATAGACATAATTCTGTCGAAAATTACTGTCATAGAATCATTATCATGTCACAATGTTTTTTTATGTTGCGATTTTTATTCCGTACAATAAAATCAGACTCTCATCAGCAAGATAATAAAAATAATGAATTGACACTTAAACTTTTGATCAGCCATGCATGTGTTTCACATTAAATTACAAAGTGGCATAGAACTTCAGATCAAATGGATTACAATTAGATTTATTTCAATTTCACAAGCACAGGTTACATATATTTGTGTTATATACTTTGATTTCACCTTTACTTCGTTTGTATTACAAGAATATATTTTATTAAAACCAATACTTTAGTGTATGTTGTGGTTAATGATACCTAAAAAGCAAACACGGTTAAGCAACAGAAACGGAACTGCATCACGCAATTTTGATTACATACAGGATATAATGGTGGCTGATATCAATCCATATTCTTTTTATCAACTGATCGTATTTACACTTTCGGTCTTTCGGTTCACTTGTTTTCGCATATCACACAGAGTTTTTGTCCCTAACGAAACTTTTCGTGAATTAATTTGTTTTCGTTTTATCACGTTTTATCGCTATAACGAAAAGGCGGCAACAAGGGAAGGACTGAATACAAAAAGAATTTTCATTGGTCATTTTAGAATTGCAAACTGAATTCGTTGAACCTCATTGGCCATTCTTAAATAAAATGTAAATGACAGTTCTAACCATCCTAAAATAAAATGTAAAGGACAGTTCTTACCATTCTAAAATAGTTTTATATGGCTCTATAATAAAACATTTAGCGCGTCTTTACACTGTAATTGTATAACGCAAATGACGTCACGTCAAATATAATCACGGCCGTGCAATACCGATTTCACTGAGCCACAAAAGTGGCACGGGTACAGTGTATGTGATAAAAAAATCTTCAACAAGAGCTGATAGTATATCAAATACAACTGAAAACAAAATTTCAAAAAAAACGAATGTGACAAATATTTAGTTTGATATTTTATCCGGTTGCCCAAAAATAATGCTATGCAATTTTATATGTAGTCGCCTGATGTGTTTTCATTAATATAATATGTGACGTGAAAATTGGCCTGTCAATAGTAATATTATTTATGTAAAGTCAAATAAAAGACAAGTCTGAGTATATTAACATTTTCTATAATATCTGGGATTTTTTAATGTGTTACACGTCAATCCAGTTATTAACCCATTCTAAATTGTCCTTTTAATAAATTATTATACTTACTACAGACCTTTACAGTCACATAAATAATATCAAACTCTTAAAGCTACTATCCCACACATTGAAGTTTGCGCGTTTTTGAAATAAAATACCATCAAAAGACAGACTTGTACATTTATATGGAACAAGATGATTTATACATGTCCTGTCCGGTGTAAAAAATTTAGTGAGTAAAGTATTCGCAATGTTTGTCCTGCTGTAAAAGTTGAAACGTTTTATTTTGGCTTAAATTATAAACACACCCGTTAACCGGGTGCAAGTAGGTCAGTTAATTGCGGGAAGAACAATTGTGCACTCGGTAATATTTTTATTCTGCAATCGATTGCTGCACAATATATCATAGAAATTTATGTTTATAAAATGAGACAAAAAAGAGGAAATCATATATTGGTAATCCGGTTTAACTGACATAGTTCTACCTGCATCAAGCTGTCCTCGCTACATGTTAACGGGTGTGATAATGAGAGCCTATATATGTGTCAAGTGAAACTTCCTAGAACCAATAAGCAAGTCAAACTTAATGATCACCCGTGCAAAAGCCTGTTTTGTGTAGATTTCAAGTCAATTTTGAAGAGACAAACCTAAAAACCTAAACAAAATTCATACATTATGTGAATGACACGTGAATTTATAATCAGATTTTTATTGTCAGTTAATGGCCAATGTCATTATCCTTATTATTAAAACTTCCCAGTTAAATGCTAATTCCAGAAGCTGTAATCTCGCGTCAATGTTGACATTTGGCTCAAAAACAAAGTAATGAAGAGGGTATTAATATATAGATAACTGTATAATACGACGGACTATTTATTCTGCCAGTTTGTGTATCACTGCACCAGCGTCTCTTATAAAGAAATAGTTCGGTCTATCTCTCTAAGCATTTGTGTCATTGG